ACGTAAGCTTTGTAGGCTTTTAGAAATACGGTGGGGTTCATAGTTCGTAAGGTCTTGAACAGGTTGTGTATTCTGTTGTTTGCCTATTTGTCTTTGAAGTCTTTTGGCATAATCAATTGAGGGAGGCGTCCCAGCATTCGGCTTCAATTCAGAATCGTAGCGGAGTATTGAATGTGTACATGAACTATACAATGACTTGTTGTGGCCAGCCGTTGTTTAAGGCAGTGCTTTTATCCTCCCAGACAAGCCTGATATCATTCAACCGCCCTCGAGGGATGTAAGGCTTTGTTGTCTTAGGTGAGTATCGACATTGGATTCGAACCCGTTGTCATGCCTGTATGTTAGTGGGCCACTACCCACTACACCATCATCACTTTTTATCATTTATTTATTCAAGTTGTTGAATTCCTATCAGCACGTGAATGCGCTGCAATACCGAATAATCACCTCATACTAGTGCAGGGTGCGTTATCATCAACAAATATGCTACATAAGCAGAAAACAGGGCACATCCAACTATCGAAACAGGCTGTGAGCCTCTTCCTGACAAATGTACGGGAGTACAGTCAGTGAGGCACGCGGTCTGCATTACTAATTCATGTGAAAGTTGTTGAGGCCGACTATTATTTCTCAAGTGGGAATACTCTAAATCAGAAAATGCATTTGATTTCAGCAATAAAGAACAAATACCAAATCCGATGACCAACGGTACTTCAGATGGCAACGTGGGCACGCCACCTTTATGATGTTTTTTATCTGTATGGATTGGCTCTGAATGATTCACTAACTATGGATCCTTTCGGTGGACATTCTAACGCCTCTACTCTCACAGAAGCGATGAAACGAAGCTTTGTAGGTGTGTGGCTCACCAGTTTTCTACGCAGAAGATTCGTGATTGACTTTCGAGAAAGATTGTTCGTGGTGCATGGTCTCAGCCCTTTTTAAGAAAGTTTGAAAAAAAGCTGGAAGTGTGAAGCCTTTTAACTTTGACGTAAAAGATCCATCAGATTCACAGCACTAGCCCTACCAAATGTGTATGTAGCGGAGCATGAGAGCCTCAATACTCCCCTCTTGGCACACTTTCTTCGGACTTACATGGAATCGTTGATGTTTTAAGCCGTTCTCATTGTCTTCCACCTTCGTTGGGAATGACATCTCACGAGCTTGGTTTGGTTAGAGTGAAGATCTAGTTCTCGCAGCTTTCACACGGCATAATCTATTCTCGTGCAGGAAGCAGTGACCACATCCTCAAACAAATTACTCTTCGCCGATTTGTTAACTATTTGAGTTGAATTGTNTTGTGTGAGAGTAACAACGAATTGTGAAGGTCCTACGCAGATATAAAAAAGTAGTTTCTGGCACTGATTCGATTGCTCGCCGGCACACTGTGGTAGATAACCACTTAACGGTCAACTAAATTCCAACTGTGTTCATACACCTCCATTTCGCATAACATTTCGTTGCGAACTCTTGAGAGAGGAGAATCATTTGAAAATGCTGAGCGGGTTTATTGGCCGAACTTTCTTGCTACTTACTCTTCGATCTCACGATGCTTGTTCCCCCGTCCATATGTTTTTGGAATGTACACAGTATACTTGTTCATGTTCTTGTTGCATAAAAAGGATCGAATACAGGTTCTTCCTATCTATGAGGGATAGTTGTACTCTGTTGATAGAGGAGCTAGTAACATTAATAGCTCTGAAATGAGTTAGAAATTGATCGTTCGCTATGCTATCGTTCGCTATCCTTCCAGGACTGACTGGACTAGTCACCATAAACGCAAATGGATCACGTATTCCGCTGTTTTCGGTCTACGTCCTTGACGCCAACTTCAATCAAGTCACTGCTATCAACTTCACGATTACCGATGGAGTACCCGTAAGTTACTCTTGGGACCGTTTGCAGATTCTGCTGGATCGAAGTGATTCTGACCTTTTTCAAGGTAATGACGAAAGGCTACACAAATGAAGCAGCAACTCTTTGGGGAACTCGAGGTGGCCATCGGTAGGGTTTTCTTTTCCATACCATTGTTAGTACTTTATAGAGCTGTATTGCAGACCGCTCGTTCGTCCGAAATGTGGCTTCACGGGACTCGATTGTCCTAGGCCATTCTGGGAGCAGTACGGCATTTATGTCATGGTCGGAGCAGGGCTGATAGCAATTTTACTGATTGTATTTGTGATACTAATTTTTTACGCGGTAAGGTGAGGACAGTTTAGATCAATTGCTATGTGGTTATAATAATTTAGCAAAATGAAGAACTACCAGATATCAAATAGTTCACCACCCCACGGGAGCGGCTAGAGGGGTTCAATCTTAAAAGGATGTTTCAAAATATCACATTTACACTTTGCAGAATTCGGAAGGAAGAGGAAGAGCAGCAGCGTTTGCTATGGCAGATCCCTTCCATGAAGCTGAGAAAGGCGCCAACATCGGTATGAAAATCAGAACAAGCACTAGCCATTTTTTGAACCAGCTTTCATCTTTTTAACGTTTTCACAACGATTCCAATTTTGAAATCAAGTGGAACTTCACCACATCTTGCTGTTCTTCAGCACTACATTAAAGTTCTTCGTACCTGCTTGTTTTGATATCATTTCGTAGCTGTATTTGTTCATGTCGACCATTTTTTAGCGAGAACTTCAACAGGAAAGCAAACGATCACTGCAGTCGGGTCCATCAACGATGACAGCAGATTCGAAACTTACAGAATCGAACTTTGGCGAATACGAGATCTGTTTTCTTGAAAATAATGCTGTTTTGACTAAAACATATCCAGCAGTGGGATTGACCGATAATGACAAGTCTATATTTCCGCAGGTTTGCCTCCTTACATCCTACGTCAGTCAATATTTCTAAGTAATATAAAGCCCAAAATTAAAATTGGAAACTGACAGCGAGCATGAAAGACCGACAGCATCAAACCTTTCTACCCTAGGCCGAACAAGCTTTCCAACTCTCAGAAGGCAAAAAGATTTCTGAAAACCTACTTGACTACATGAGAAATTATCAGCAGGGTATTCTTGGTTGTTCCTGTAGTGATATAGATTTTCCTCTTATGAAGTATGGCTATAGTTTTCAACATGTTGTGCTTTTCTACATGTAGACGGTAGAACGCTTTTCGACAAGGCGAGATGTAAAAGGAATTATTTTTCGGCGTGGTACAGGCACAAGTAAGGCATTCCTGCTGCCCGAAAACGGGTGTATGTCGTTTGGCGCGGCCCTTCGCACCCAACTTGCCATTGGGGCAATTAGGCTCGTAATTGCCTTCTTGGCGCCGCCCATTGGACTCGGTTTGTGAGCTGGGCAACTCGTCCAGCTGATTCAACCTCCTGACAGTGCTAGTCAGCCTACCCACTGCCCATCCAGCTGATCCCG